CAGTGGCTTGGTTGCCTTGTTTTTCAGGTTGAGCCCCAATTTCTGTCTCTGGGTTTTTATTATTCATGCTACAAGAGCTCACACAAAGGTTATCCCAACACTTCGGATCATATGCCTTTAATCCCAGTACTAGGGAGGTGGAGACATGAGTGATATAGGGTGGGGCAGAGAGAGGAATATAAAGTGGAAAGAGATAGGAGCTCAGTTCATTCAGTCTGAGCATTCAGTTTGAGATTTTGTAAAGCCAGCATTCAGTCTGAGAATTCTTAGGGACAGGATTACCCCACTTTGATCTGAGGATTCAGTAGAAGTAAGAACTAGTGACGGGCTGCTCTGCTTCTCTGATCTTCCAGCTTTCATCCCTGATAGCTGACTCTAGGTTTTTATTATTAAGACCAATTAGAATTTGCATGACAGACAGCAAGCACTTTTACCTGAACCAACTCGATAGCCATGATTCTTCGCTTTAATAAGTGATTTGATGCTTGATAATATATGAGTGACTGCCTACTCTAAAATCCTTATATTTATAGAATAATATGAATTCTGATGCAGTGAGGTAACTATGAAGCATAGTTTTCTACATCATAAGTATTTTATTATTTTTGTGGTTTTTATGTTGACAGATGAGTAACTGATTATACACATTTGTTAGAATCTAGACAGACACCAAACAGGTCATTCCCACTTGCAGCTGTATTTTTCTCCATCCTCATAGCTGATTCTACAAACAGTGATATAGGAGGGTCATCTGTCTATGTGTTACTTTCATTGGTTAATAAAGAAACTGCCTCGGCTTTTTGATAGGGCAGAATTTAGATAGATGGAGTAGACTGAACAGAATGCTGGGAGAAAGAAAGCAGGGGTAGGCAGACACCATGAAGCTCCAACCTGAGATGGACGTAGGCTAGAATCTTCCCGGTAAGTCACGACTCTGTGGTAAACACAGATGAATAGAAATGGATTAATCAAGATGTGAGAGTTAGCCAGTAAGAGGCTGGAGATAATTGGCCAGGCAGTGTTTAAATGAATACAGTTTCCGTGTAATTATTTCAGGTAAAACTAGCCAGGAGCCAGGCGGCAGGAAGTGGTCTGCTGCTCCTGTTTACTACAGAGTGGCGCCCACTGGTGCCTCAATGTGGTGAACTGGATCCATGTAAAACCTGAGAGAGCTAATTTTAAACACAGAAAAAAAAACAGAGTTTAACGCAGCTTTTTGCTGTTTGTTGGTGGCATGCCGCAGAGAAATGTCCCTGACTCAGCAGCCGTAGCAGAAAAAAAGCTGCGGTTTTAAAACGCAGCTTCCTGGGCTGTGCCACCAGCGCAAACTCTGGCTATACAGCATTTCAATGGCTTTTATGGGACTGGGTGTTTGTGTTCCTACGCAGGATAGGGAAGAAAGTACTCTGAGACCATGCCTGTGCTCCCCGCCTGGGCAGACTGTGGGATCAGGCTTAGGCAAGCCGGAGAGCATGGCAGATTCCGGCCGCCATACACAGAGATGTTTCCAGGCTGTGCAGTGGTCTGCCTGGCAGATTAGGCTGTAACTGAGATAAAAAGCTCATTCTGAGAGTCAAAGAGCTAAGTGTGACTCCTACCTGGAGGTGGAAAAAAAAAGCCACGCAGTTTTAAAACACCGGCTTTCTGGGCTATGCTCCTAGCATGACCTCTGGCTCCTGCAGGAGCCAGAGCATTTGAATGGGGTTTTGTGAGTAAAGTGCTAAGGCTTGCTTGATGGCAATGTGGACTGCTGTGTGCCTGGAAATGTGCTTGGCTCAGGGGCACCAAATGGCTCTGAGGCAGGAGCAGCTACTCCACACTGAACTGTGCTGATCTTAGGCAGGGACTGTTGTAATTATCATAATAACAGTGCAGTTAAAGTTTAGACTGTACAGGAAATAGGCAGTACCATATTACCTCTACATGGCGCAACTTAAGTTTTTAAGAAGTGCTTAGCATTTTAAGAAGTGTTCCTGGACAATCAAAAAGTTACAGGCAATGCATTAGGACAGATTCAGACATAAAAGACCTCTAAATGGGTCATAGTTTTAGACATACATAGGCTTGGGAGAGAGAAGAAAAAGAATACAGAGAATAAAGTTAATGCCTTAAAAAGATAAAGTCTTTAAAGAGACAGTATAGATAGTTATAGATTAAAAGAAATAAAGAAAAATAAGTCATGTAAAAATGGAAAATTCACAGAGAGTTTGTATTCTGTATATTGTATTTTCTTTGAATTTTTTGGCTGTAAAGGAGCTAAGTACAGAGAGACATTTCATTGTATGGGCTGTTAGGCTAGACTACCATGTATATTATTATAAAAGTATTATGATGTTAGGATTTGGGTCTAAGGACATGATGCTTTGGAAAAGAGGTTCTTCTTTTGTTTTCACAGAGGATGAGACCCTGTGGACTGCTTCTATCACAATATGGTATTATAGACCACACCCTCCTGAAAAGTTGCTGTGAACACCCTCAAAAAAATTATTTCACTCAACTGCCGACTGAGATGAACCTGGCACACAGGATACACCATAAAAGACCTGATTAACAGCGCCCCCATACAGCAGGAACAAGTTTGGAGAGAAATAACTACGCCCATACTCCCAGATATTGTTTATAAATGTTCTTTTACATTTAAAGGGGGATATGATATAGATATGAATAATTTGCATTGGTATGGATTTTAAGGTCAATTTTGTTATATGTACATGTATTTCTGCTATTGATTAAGCTTTTATGATTGTGTAGTTCATTTAAAAATGTAATGTATAATTAGGAAATATAGGTTGTTAATGGATAATCTTAGATAATAGTCAAGCTTGTAGTCATGTCAGTTAGATTTTCTAGATATATAGAGGTATATTTCAGTTAGATAGGCATTCTTCATATTATTCAAAGATGAAAGAATATGGCATTTTAAATGTTTTAATGATTTAGGGCTTTTCATGACAATGAGACATGTCTGCTCCTGGCAGCACCAATCTACTTCAAGAGGAAGATGGGTATTGAAGAGGCTCCTTATGGAGTTTGATAGCCATTCGGGCAAGAAACTGCTCTTGCCTGGGCTGTTGCATAAACTGGACAGAGTCCACAGAGAGAGGACTGCTGAACTTGCCAAAAGGTGAGATGATCCTTTGGGGTTCCTGTCTCATAAAAGAATTTGCGAGATATTCTGCAGGACACAGAAAAACGTGACTGAACTGTCTTTGAATTTTCCTGCTTCATGGAAATGTCTGCTGGATACTATGGGCCTGTAGGCTGAAGATGGATGCCCCAACGGTACAAAAGAACTTTGGGTGACTGTACAGGCAGCGAGATGTCTCTGTCATTTCTAGAGTTTGGAAGTTACTTATTTCTTGTTTGTTTAGGTAGTATTATATCCTTCTGGAGTCTTTGATGGAGTTGAAGAAAGGATAGTTAGTTATAGTTTTCCTTAGTTATGATAAAAGATAAAGTAGATATAAATATTATAACTATAATTCGTGCTTGATAACTGTTTTGTTATATATAATTTTATTATGTTAAACTTAAAGATTTTCTTTTTTGTTTAAACAGAAAAAGGGGAAATGATGTAGGAGGGTCATCTGTCTATGTGTTACTTTCATTGGTTAATAAAGAAACTGCCTTGGCTTTTTGATAGGGCAGAATTTAGATAGGTGGAGTAGACCAAACAGAATGATGGGAGAAAGAAAGCAGAGGCAGGCAGACGCCATGAAGCTCCAACCTGAGATGGACGTAGGCTAGAATCTTCCCAGTAAGCCACGACATCGTGGTAAACACAGATGAATAGAAATGGGTTAATCAAGATGTGAGAGTTAGCCAGTAAGAGGCTGGAGATAATTGGCCAGGCAGTGTTTAAATGAATATAGTTTCCGTGTAATTATTTCGGGTAAAACTAGCCAGGAGTCAGGCGGCGGGAAGTGGCCTGCTGCTCCTATTTACTGCAAAACAGGACGAAGGCGATCATCTCCAAGGTATTGGAAACTAACAGTAACACTAGTATGGTGCATAAATGTTAACCAACAGGGCCTCTCTTCCCCACCTCACACAAGTCCTAAAGCTCACACAGCCATTTCCTGGAATGCAAGGCCCCTCCACCACCACCTGGGACTTGGAGGCCCCCTTGTCAACCACTTTTTATAGAATTCTCACAGCCCTGTGTTCTAATGCTCTGACAAGTACACTGCAGTGAACTTGTGCACCAGCACCCAAAATGGGCAAGGTGAAAAGCAAGTAACCAAGTATAAACCGGGTAAATGATCTGCTGTACAATTATTCTCACGTCTGGATATAGTCTATGTACACGCACATAGTTTGAGGTCTGAATTCTTCTGGGTGTTTTCTGGTTTTTATTTAGAGAATCCCCCATCTGTATGAGCTTTTAATAACTGTGATAATGTTTCATATTAGAAAACCCTGTAATCATTAAATTCATAGGGTTACTAACCTCCTTGTATATCTTGAAGTCAAATCAACTGAGGCTCCATTAATTATACAACCATTCTTACAGTCCTTAAATTTAAATGGTACCTCACATGTATGCATTGAAAATGCAAAATAAGCCATTTGGGTAGAAATCCCTCCAATATTTGTACAGTTCCAGGATGTTGCACCAGTATGTGTTCCCTAGAGTTAAGACCTGGCTCGTGGAAGAGCATTTTCAAACATTCTTTACATTCATCAGTCTCACCAGCATGCAATCTCTGATTTCAAGTGAGGACCAACAGTACACAGCAGGCTTTATGCAATACCTAGGGTTTCTCATATAAGTCACTCAGGAAGAGAGATCAGAGATAGAGTAGAAACATTTAATGCATTCTTTATGTACCCAGAGCTTACCTACTTGAGTTCAGTGAGGTGCAAAGAGGGCAGATTTAAACTACAAACTTCCCCTTAAACTCTTACTGCTTCTCACTTGAATGCAATCTGATTTTGAGAGAGAAATGACTTCCATGGAGAAGCTTTTCTGTACTGTGTACATTAATAAGGATCCTTACCTGTATGAGTTGCCTGATGGCGGCTGAGTTTTGATTTGCTGTAGAAAGCTTTCCAGCATTCTTTACACTGATAGGGCTTCTCACCCGTGTGAGTTCGCTGATGTAAAGTGAGGTTTGACTTGTTGTAGAAGGCGTTCTTGCACACTTTACATTCATAGGGCTTCTCACCGGTATGGATTCTCTGGTGCGCAGTCAGGTTTGATTTCTGCCAGAAAGCTTTCTTGCACTCATCGCATTCGTAGGGCTTCTCCCCTGTGTGGGTTCTCTGATGTCGGGTGAGGTGGGACTTGTAGAAGAAGGCTTTCCTGCAGTCTTTACATCCATAAGGCTTCTCTCCTGTGTGAGTTCTCTGATGGAGAGTCAGAAGCCACTTGCGGCGGAAGGCTTTCTTACACTCTTTACACTCATAGGGCCTCTCCCCGGTATGAATTCTCTGGTGCTGAATGAGATGGCACTTGTGGTAGAAGGCTTTTTGGCATTCGTCACATTCAAAGGGCTTCTTGCCTGTATGAGTTTTCTGATGTCGAAAGAGATGTGACTTGTGGCAGAACCCTTTCTGGCATTCTTTGCACTCATAGGTCTTCTCTTTACTCTGAGTTCTCTGGTGCTCTGTGGGTGGTGACTTACCAGGGACAACTTCACAACAGTCCCCACAGTCAGAGTGTTTCCCACACGTGTGAGTCTTCTTGTGCTGTGGCCTTTGGCAGGATGTTTCCAGACAAGAATCTGGGTTTTTCCCTTGGTGTATTTTCCGTCGAACCTTTAGTTGTAGCTTAAGACAAAAGAACTTGTTTTATTCATTGCACACATTGTCCTAACATGGCTCCCTAATGCTTTGTGAGGTACGATTATTTTTAACATGAAACCTCATGATTAGTATATATATTTATTGAACTTGTCATTTGTGTACTTTTATTATTTGCCGATTTTTCATCTGATATGTTTCATCCTAAACAAACTGTCTTGAACAATAAGTGCTACTTAACCAAAGATTTGAAAAATTCCCTGAAAAAGCCAGAGGTCTCTTGAATATGAAGTTCCTTCATTTAATATTTTCTTTGTGTAGAAAGATATTCCTAGTCAAATATGGCAGGATGCTCTTTTCCCCTTGTTATGGAGTCTAAGATATATAAAATATGGGAGGAGCTTCTCAGTTACCATCATTGGGCCTACATGGTATATGGCTTAGTATAAAGAAATAGTGCATTTTGACAGGAGAAAGATTTCAAGGAAACCTCCCCAAACATTTCCACTCTTATTGTTCATATTACAAGTAGTCTGTGTCCACAAAAAATTTTACTTACTTCAGCCCCTTCTTTGTTAGATATATTGCTACTGGTGGTTTTCTCTTCACACAAATCTCTCTCTTCATTTTCCTGGATGGTCTCAACTGGAACACGTGCTTTACGCACATCTAAAATAACATAAAAATGTCATTATTCATGAATAACCATATTATTTACTAACTGAAACACATAGTCCCTCAGTTTTCTCATGTAAATTTTATGGCAATATTGGATATGATAGTTTATTCTTTCGTTTGTTTGTTTGTTTTGAGAAAGGGTCTTTTTATGTATCCCTGGCTGTCCTGAAACTCCCGGAACTCAGAGAGATCTGCCTGCTTCTGCCTTCCAAGTGCTGGGCTTAAAGATGTGCGCTACCACCATCCAGCTGACAATTTAATTCTTAAATAAATTAGTATAACTCTGGCTGGAGAGATGGCTCAGTGGCTTAATTAAGTGCTGGCCATGCATGCATGAGAACTGGAGTTCAGATTTCCGTAATTCAGGCAGACTAGATTAAACATTGGATTTATAGGATCAGAAAGCAGACACAAAAGAACCTTAGGGGGAGCTGGCAAGAGACTTTAATGAATGAAGAAGGAGAGCGATTAAGGATGATTTGGGGTATCAGACTCGGGCTCCACAGTCAGACATGTCAAATCTTACACACTTCAGGCACTGTGAACATTTCTCTCAGTGCGTCTGCACTTCAGTTCCCATGGCTGCTCTTGTACAAAGGAAACACAAACAAACAACAAACCCTCTACACAGGAACCTTCAGTGTCCACAGCCTCTCTGACTGGTGATGATTTCTTTTCAGGTTCTTAGAGTGCAGGATGTCTGGTTTTAGAATTCCAAGAGATGTGGTTTAAATGTAACCAGTCTCTTCTCCAAGGCCAGGCTGCTGCTATAGAGAAAGCCACGATGCTTGATTCTGCAATTTCTAGGTCTATCTATAGTTGAGACTTTGGTTCTCCTACCCAAGAGGAGAACTTACCAACGTAGCTAGCCTCTCAAGTTTTTCAGGATTTTGTTGTTGTTATTGTTGTTATTGAATCTTATTTTTAAGTCAGTCTCTCTCTCTCTCTCTCTCTCTCTCTCTCTCTCTCTCTGTGTGTGTGTGTGTGTGTGTGTGTGTGTGTGTGTGTGTGTGTGTGTGCGCGCGCACACACGCATGGAGGAGTCAAAAGAGGCAAGAAGACATCTAACTGATGTGGGTGCTGTGAATATATCTCATGTTCTCTTAGAACAACAGTACATGCCCTTAACCACCAGGCCATTTTCCAGCCCCTGTTTATCCACTTTTCCCTGTCCTGCTACCTGTTTTTATGATCCCTCATGCTCTTCCTCTCCTGTGAATCCATTCTCTTCTCCTTTACTCGGACTCTTATCATTAACATTGGAGCATGGTTAATCTTTTAATTTTCCTCGTTATTCTTGAGTCTCTGTCTCTTTCTTTCCTCACTTTCTTATAACTATGTTCAGTAGTCTTTTAAACCTAAAATTTCCACCTTGGTTCCACAAGTCTTATCACAATCACTATCAACTGTTTATAACTTACTGTTATTTTTTTTAATCATTTGATTTATTTATCTTAGGAGTACATGGGCACACACATGCCATAGCATACGGTTGGGGGTCAGAGGACAGCTATGGCATTCAGTTCTTTCCTTCCACCTTGTGGGTTCTATGGAACAAACTCAGGTCACGGGGCTTGGTGGAGAGCAACTGAACCATTTTCCATACGATTTTTAATTTGATATCCACTTATATATTAGATATCAAATTTTGAAAATAATAAAGGTATGAAATGCACTCAGGCATAGTAATTTTCTGATTTGTATCTTAATTCCAATCATTATTACCAAGTCTTTAGTTTATATCCATATGTATGATTTGATAATGGTCACTTCAAAGTTAAAATAAATGACTGAACACTTAGTAAGTTCACTTTGTGCCTTTCAAAACTGAAACCCAGTAATTTTTTTTAAATCTCTTCCTGGAAAACATTCTTGACAGCATTTATTTCATCACTGATGAGCTCATTGATATAGTCAGATCACAACAGACACTAACTGGGCTTCACGTCTCTTCTGAGTCAGAGACCTGTAAAGACGCACTTGTGACTACTGTTGGTGTCATCGCAATTACACAGACAACTGCTTATCAGGTGAACAAAATCCAAGTGTCTAATGAGTATGCAAACAAACAATAATAAAGATCTACTTTTTTAAGAGTTAAAGAAAATCTATTGTATAAACAAGGAAGAAGCACAACTGAGAATTTCTCAAAGTAACCAAATTTGCCTAAGAAGTGTGTGTGTGTGTGTGTGCGCGCGTGTGCGTGTGTATGTGTGTGTGTGTGTGTGCACACGTGCATGTATTTTCTGTCAGACAGTGGTGGTGAATGTCTTTATTCCCAGCACTCAAGGGGCAGAAGCAGGAAGATCTCCGTGAGTTCAAAATCAGCCTGGCCTACAGAGTGAGATCCAGGACAGGTAGGGTTGTTAAATAGTGAAACCCGGTCATGAAAAAGCAATCAACCAACCAATTAAAGAAAAGCAAACAAAAAAACCCATATACATACATACATACATATATATTGATTGAAAATATCAATACATAAATATAAATTTTCCCTTCAACAAAACCAGTGAAGTGGCTTGATAGGGAGAACTCTCTAAGAACTACAAAAGTCACGTGTCTGGTTCACATGCCCAGCTGTCCTCAGGAATGGTGCAAACAGCACACTAAGACTAACATCCAGCTGTCTCTCTCCTGGCTCATCTCTTTTATCCAGTATTCACTCACAAACCTGGAAAGTTCCAGACTGAGGCTTCTGCTTTACTCCAAGGCCCAAATCCATGCTCCAACTTAATGATCAACTCAGGTTTGGCTGTGCAGTGCCCTGCAAATGGGAATCATACAGAAATGGTGTCAGAGTGCCGTCAAGTCCACTGAAGAAAGACAACAACCCCATTTTGATTTGTGTTATGATGGGTGCATTCAAATTTGCTAGTTTTACACTCATGGTCTTTAGTCTTTGGAATATTACTCTCAAATAACACAATGCACAATAAATTATGCAACATAATTTTTAAAATTTCAATAAGCAGGTGACAAGAAGAAACAAAAAGATGAAGCTGGAGAGACAGCTTTGTTGTGGAATATTATTTAAACTGTGCTATATTCATTTGTGCTGTGGAACATTTGTTTAATGATGCAAAGATGAGTTGCATTCATTTATGTTGCATTCATTCAACTCTGTGAAGCTGTGTTAGTTTGCCTGCCTAAAACACCGGATTGGTCTAATGAAGAGCTGTCTGGCGAATAGCTAGGCAGGAGAAAGGATACGTGTGACTGGTCTGTAGAGAGAATAAAAAGGAGGAGAAATTTAGGGTGAGGAAGATAGTTGAGAAAGAAACAAGAGAGGAGAAGAAGAGTAAGATTCCAGGGGGCCAGACGCCCAGCCACACAATCAGCCATGAAGTGAGAAGGAAAGAATGGAATATAGAAAGGAGAAAGGTAAAAGCCCAGAGAGAAAAGGTAGGTGAGATAATACAAGAAAAGCTAACTACAAATAAGTCTGGACATTCACAACTAGAATAAGTTTTTGTGTGATTATTTGGGAGCTGGGTGGCTGGTCTCTAAAAGAGTTAAAAAAAATACAACTTAAATGCTACTTAGGACATCCTAGACAGAGATAGTGGCTTTAAAAAGAACCAGCCATAAATTTTCCTAGAGTTATTAACTGTGACCTTGCACTTGGCCATTAGAATAACTGCAAAATTGAATATAAACAGTGATCATGCAGAGCTGCAGAGCCTCCAGCGAACAAAGGTTTCAAGTTCCCAACAAAACACAAAATCAACTGGAAGTTTCAGAATCTGATGCCAGGAATATAAATTAGTATTGATAATAAGAAATGCATGAAAGGCAGAGGCAGGTGGCTGCCTGTGAGTTCAAGTCCAGCCCGGTGTACAAAGCGAGTTCCAGGACAACCAGAACTACACAGAGAAAACCTGCCTTGAACTCCCACCACCCCCCAAAAAACAAGAAACAAACACATTCTTATGTTTTCTTAAAATGTAAATACATGGGAGCTGGAGAGATGGCTCAGAGGTTAAGAGCATTGCCTGCTCTTCCAAAGGTCCTGAGTTCAATTCCCAGCAACCACATGGTGGCTCACAACCATCTGTAATGGGGTCTGGTGCCCTCTTCTGGCCTGCAGGCATACACACAGACAGAATATTGTATACATAATAAATAAATAAATAAATAAATAAATAGTAAAACATGGACTGGAGAAGTAGCTCCTCATCAGGGCACGTGTCCAGTTAGTCAAGAAGTCCTGATTTCAGTCTAAGCACCAAATAAACCAGTGCTGGTCTCACACACTTGATTCCTAGATCAGAAATTCGAACTCTGCTATATAAGTACAAATCCAGTGTGACATACACGAGACCTGTGTCAAACAAACAAAACAAAATATAGAAATACTACATGGCAATAGTCTCCCACTGTTAAGTATGTGTGAATAAGTACATACACTTATAATAAAGTTTTTGCAGAGAAACTTGCACCATCCTCATTGCTGTAGCACTGTTCATATAACCCATGATACATGATCAAGTCGGTGATACTCAACAAAAGAACTGGTAAAGAGAAGGTGGCGTATACACACCTGCATGGGCACAGTGGCATGGATACAGCTGGACGGGATTTTTGTAAATGACAGAATAGCTTGAGATGAGCTGCAACTGTGCTGCTGAGCTGCAGGAGGCTTAGCCACAGTGGTGGTTATGAGGTAAGGAGAACCAGAGAGCAGATACCCAGGTCTCCCATGAAGGAGAGGGGCTGGTAACACCCCCTCACAGGACTCACACAATCACGCAACAGATTCCAGTGAGGGAATGTGTCTGCTCATCCTCGGGGTTCAGAGTTTTCGGTAGGAGCTGCTTGAGATTCATCTTTGCTGTCTGCTGGATGAAACTCATTTATTCATCTTAATAGATAAAAATGCATGGAGCTTTTAATCTGTCTCCCCAGCAATGGCAAAGGACATAAGTAAAATGCAACAGGCACAGAAACAAATCCTGGCATGTTCCCATCATGCTTACAAGCTAAAATTTATCTCAAAACTATAAAGTACTGGTTGCTAGAATGTGGAAAAGATGCAGGAGAAAGCCACAGATGAAAAGATGTGTATAGCCACGGGGAGCATTTGGAAGGAACGAGGAACCTGGAATGCTCAGTAGCACATCAGTGAATGTATAGCTGCCAAATTACCTGAGTATTTCATAATAGCTGTCAGAGAAGTTTTAAATGATCCTCATACAAAGGATATCTGAGCCGACAGACTCACCAGCTACCATCATCTGGTCATTACACACCAGCGAGTGTATCACAAAGACACACTCTACATGAATATGCATGGGAGTGTGTCTCCTAACATGCCTATCAAGTTACTACCAACAGTGAGCCATATTCTCTCACATATCAACCAAGCAGAAAGCAGTTGCTAGTAGGTTTACAGGGGGGTTAGCCTCACCCACGAACACCAGGCTGCTGTAGATGTCCAGCATCACATCCCTGTAGAGGGTCCTCTGAGCAGCATCCAGGTTCTTCCACTCCTGCCGGGTGAAGTCCACAGCTACATCCTCAAATGACACAGATCCCTGTAATGACAGATTTCTCTTCAACCCCAGCACCATTAAGCCTTGGGAACAGAAAATGACACTTCTGTCTTCACTGTGACGTGCACTTAAACAACATCTTACAGAAGGTGAAGCTCGATTTGCATTCTGGCTTAGTTAACCCTCTACTCCTGTGGGAAAACAACAACAAACTGGGCAAAAACAACCTAGGGAGGAATGGTTTGTTTGATTTACAAGTGACAGTTCACCATTAAGGGAAGCCAAGGCTGGAACTTGTGGAAGGAACTGAAGTACAGAGCTCTGATTATTAGCCTCCCTATACTTTGCTCAATTTGGTCTTTATGTGCAACCCAAGACCACCTGCCCAGGAGTGACCCCCACCCACAGTGGGTTGGACCTTTTTATGTCAATCATCAGTCAAGACCCCACAGTCTTGCCCACAGGAAAACCTGATGGAAACATTTTTCCAGACAAGTTTCTCTTTCCCAGATATCTATAGCTTATGTCATGTTGCCCACAAAAAACTGAAAACACAGTCTGTATTTGATGGAAAGAAAAATCAATACAAATATCTTCTCTCTTAGTATAGTGATTCAAGAAAATAGGATTGCAGGCTTTTCCATGTACTTAAAATGGAAAAAAAATCCAAGAAATAATATGTGTATGTAATGTTTGTGTTATCAAGAGCAAGGGAGAGACACATATAAGCCAAGCCTTATAAAAACAGTATCAAATCTGTAAAAGCGAAAACTTCAATGACAATAAAAATGGCCAAGCTTTGTTGATTGCTATGGGAGGCCTGCCCCTTTCTGAGGAGACAGAGGAGGAGTGGGTGGGGAAGGGGAAGTAGAGGGGAGATGGGAGGACAGAAACAGAGGAGAAAGGGAAGTTGTGGTCAATATGTAAGATAAATGAAAAAATTAATTTAAAAAAATGCAAGATCTTTACAGGTACAATTCTCTTTACCTCTTGAGCAGGGCCAGCAAATCATCTGGCCCTGACCTTACTCTTTCACCCACTGCCCTCTGCTTGCAGAAGTAATCCTCACGGTTTGTTAAAATCTAATGCCATTTGACAAAAAGATATTACTTAGAACCCAGAATTGGACACTTCAAATATGTTCATGCAAAAATTGACACTTCTTTTTAGTACGACTGTTGGTTCTGCTCAAAGAGGTGAAGCAACATCAGATAACATCCAACATTTATTATACACCCTTCCTTTCTAGGATTCTCACATCAAATGAAAACTGATAATGGCCCTGTTTATACCAACAAACATTTCTGAGAATTTTGTAGTTTATGAAATATTAATCATGATCCTAGAATACCTTATAATCTACAGGGCTGTGCTATAGTAGAATGACACCATCAAATACTTAAGCATACAAAGCCACATTTAGCATATATACCCACCTAAATCCCTACATACAAAGCCACATTTAGCTTATACACCCATCTAAATCCCTACATACTATGCTGCATTTAACATATACATCTACCTAAATCCCTACATACAAAGCCATATTTAGCTTAGACACCCACCTAAATCCCTACACACAAAGCCACATTTAGCTAGGTTAAGTTTAAAATTTTTCACTTTAAAGGATAATGCTCTTCTGATGCCCCAATGCATTTTATCCTAATGGAAACACAGCCTAATGTATGTGTTAAATGGAAAGATCTAGAAACTAACCAATGGAAAGGGACTGATGTTTTTCTAACAGAATTATGCTTGTGTCTTTCCAGAAAATGAACCAAGTCCCAGATGGCTCCTGCTTTGGTGAATTCAACCAGGATCCTGGAGACCACCACACAAATGAAGCATGTGCAGACAGATGGCAAACCCATCAAGGGGAGAGGTCCCAAGAGGAAGCTGATGACTTGCGGGGACATCAAAACTCATTAAGCTGAGACATTATGGAAACAGCAATGATACAATACTACTACCCAAAGATGTTACTGTTATGTTTACGGATGGAATTACATGTTCATTCTCAGCTCGTCAACGCAGAATCCAAGTGCCTTTTTTGGGGGGGGCGGATAAAATGCATACTTGTAATAGGAGACAGTATGATATTGTTTTGCCATACTAAGGATTATTTTTATCTTTTAGGATCAGTAGTTTGGATAAAAGATGATATAAAAATATTTAGTTCCATGATGGGGGGGGGATATTTTGGTTGAACTAATCTAACGGGATCAATCCAAATGCAACAATACAGATTTAAGCATAAAATTAGCACTCTTCAGAAAGCTCTGGCAGTGGAAACTATAGTTGTATCAAGATGAAAAAGGGAATACTTTGGTGTATTGCTTACAAAGTTGGTGCCACATTCATGTCTGACTTGAGCCAAACTGCCATATAGGCTGTGGAGGCTTGGCCGTCCTGTACCTAATCTTTCAGGGCCTCAGTTGCCTTCAATTGTCTGCATAGGAACAGTATTAAAACAGGACAGCTGGGAATTTATGTTGGCATGTCAGCCTCTGTGGCAGTCACCTGGGACAGTGTTAGCCTCCACACAGCTCTCCGTCCTCCTGGTTAAAGATCCAGGGCTCAGGCACTTGCTTTGTTGGCTCTGGCAAGGTAGCCTGTTCCGTACAGTTTCTAGAGGGCGAGTCCTTCATGGCGGGGAGCATGGTGGCAGGCAGGCAGGCAGGCTTGCCTCTCTCAAGTGGCAGCTGGGAGCTTACATCTGCCCCAGAGTTGGAGGCAGAGAGAAACAGATGGGGCCTGATGTGGGCTTTTGGAAGGCCACACAGAATGACATGTCTTCTCCAAGGCCACGCCTCCTCCAAGATCACAGCTCTTGATCTTAGCTGAACAGTCCACCAAGTGGGAACCACGCAATCAAACATCATGAACCTATGTGAGTGGTTCTCATTCAAACCACCACACATGCCCAGTTTAATACACGTTGAATGTGTCCTACTTATGTATGACAATCCTGAAGACCCGCATTGCATGATGGGCCTGTCTTCCTGGCACCTCTTGGGTCACTCTTCATCCCACAAGTCCTCCCCCTCAGCCCCTTTTGTTCCTCACCTACCTTCAGAGACAGGCTGATCCAAGCAATCAGAGCCCTATGGAACTTCCCTGGGCCTACAGCAGGGCCATCTTCTCCAGGCTAGGAGGGCCCAGCTACTGTCAGTGTGCACACGCTGCAGGAGCTACCCCTTCATCTCTGTCCCAGGTTTGGCTTTCCATTGTGCAGTGGACCGATCTCCCAGTCCCACACCACCTCTTCACTTCAGGACCCACAACAGAGGTGTGATGAGCTATGATGCACCCCTCACTGCTCAGAAGCAGTTTTATTCTTGCCTGGCTGTGGTGCCAGTACAATGGCAGGTAGCGATGATGGTGCCCCACTGTCCCGAGGAACATTCTGATTCTCCAGAAGGCCACTGGCCTCTCTGAGGTTCTACAGACAGCAGGCCATTGGGAACAGAAGGTTGAGTCCTGCACACAGCAGGCAAGTATCCACCGCTGACCTGCAGACACTGACACTCCCACAGACTTTTGTTTCTGACAATGCCTGAGCAGTCCAGGTTAGCCTTCACCTTGAAATAGGCCATGCTGGCCTCAAACTTCCGCTAATTCCTCCTGCTTCACCTTCCCAGATATCGAGAATGGCACCCTGCACAACCACTCTGGCTTGGAAGCAGGTTTGAAGCCCCACACATAGATCCCTCCTTGACTTTCACTTCAAGACTACACCGAGAAGGGACAGCTAGACAAAGGAGGAGGATCAGGGCTCTGCACAGAGCTCCTTCCGTGCTGCGTCCACTGTGGGTAACCACTTGGTCCACGCGCAGTCCCTGACCAAGTTTCCTCACTCACTTGGAGATAAACCACCCAAAGAGACAGACACACCCAGAGATGAGAGAAGGAACGGAGAGGACCCATGGGCTGATGGAGCATGTGTGTGAATCCCTGTGCTTGGCAGATGGAGGATTGCTTTTAGCTTGAGGCTAGCCTGGGCTACATAAAGAGTTCCAGACTCTCTCGGCTTGTCTACAGAGTGAGAGCCTGTTTGAAGAATACTGATGCGGAATGCTCCTCTGTATGCTATGAATGTGTTTTATTACCACTGGTTAAGAAAGAAGCTGATTTGGCCTATGGCAGAACAGAATATAGCTAAGCAGGAAATCCAAGTAGAGACAGAGAAAAAGATAAGGTGGAGTCTCGGAGACATCAGCAGCCACCGGGGAAGCAAGATGTTAGGTAACAAGACACGAGCCTCGTGGTAAAATGCAGAATAATAGAAATAGGTCAATTTAACTTGTAAGAACTAGTTAATAATAAGCCTGAGCTCATAGGCCAAAGAGTATGTAGTTAATATTAAGCTTCAGAGTGGTTATTCAGGAACTCGCAGGTGGGAGAGAAACCTCCAGTTACAAATGTACCAACGTGAGGCTCTTGAATTTCCACAGGATCTGAGAAAGCTTTTAAAAAGTTCTAAAAGCACACAAACAGAGCTGCATTGGCCTTCCCTGTCTCACAGTCCGATGGCAGGAGCAGCGCAGAGAATGTCTCCCAACCGTTGCTTGCAAGATAGAACCCGCCACCAGCCACTATGAGCTAAGGTGTGTCAGGTCTCTGCAGTCTCACACAGGCCTTGGTACAGAGAGGCTAACCAGCCACGTGCACTGCTGTGGAATTAGCTTTTACTCATACAGATAGTAAAGGTTTGTGGGTGACTGTGTGTTACCTGATATCAGCACTAGGGGTGGGGGTAAGTATGGTGTTCTTTTTCCACCTCTGCCACGTTGTTAAGTGAAGCAGGCAGAGGAACCAACAGCCAAAGCTGCACAATCTAAAACATTGATTAAAAACGACTGCAAATACTCATTAAAGACAGATTCAGAAAGAAAAAAAAAAAGCTCTAAATGGGCCATAGCGTGTTTTCAAAAGAAATGTATCTAGGTTTGGGGGAGAGGAAAAAAGAGTATCGTTATAAGAAGAAATAAATAGTTTTAAGAAATAAAACAAAGTCTCTAAAGAACAGTAAAAATAATATAAAAGAAAAAGTCACATAAAGATGAAAAATACACAGGGAGTCTGGATCCTGTATAGTTCTGTGTTGATTTTTAACTTTTTGATGACTGATGGACAACAACAGTTGCTGAGAGACATAGGACTGAAAGAGAGGCTGATACAATGTAACAACTTAAATATTTTTAAAAGCTTTAGCTTTAAAACAGAAGTCAAAAGTATATTTGTAAAATGGAACTTAAAAAGATGCATTGCTTTAGAGAAGAGGTTTTGCTTTTGTTTCCACAGAAGATGAGAAGCTGTGAGTCCCTTCCAGGCTATGATGGTTTGATCAAGTAAGAACCCTGAGAGGTCTCCAATGGGAATCATAGCCCAGGTGACTCAACATCCAGAACAGCTTCAAGGCAACTGTCTGAAATAATACAGCCTCACAGACTACTACAGCTAAGATTTAACCATAATCCTAAATTTTCTCAGGATCCCCATAAGATTACCAATGCCCCCAATAAGTAGGAACTAACATAGAAAACTACTACCAAATTCCCAAAATACTATTTATAAATTTTTGTTTTTACTTAAAGGAGATTTATTATAAATGATTAATGGTCATATTTAATCTCTTTCTTAAAAATGGGGCTATGATATAACAATAATTAGAAAGGTAGATTATTAAATCTACTTTAATCAAGAAAAACAACTGTTAATCTCAAAATACTTTACATTGGTACGGATTTTGGTTTATTTATACAAATTTAAAGTCAATTTTGCTATACTTTATGTCTATTTCTACTCTTGGTTAAGGTATTATATTTACACAGCTCATTTAAAATGTAATATATGGCTAAGAAATACAAATTAGTAGACACATGGGAGTCATGGGAAGGAGAGGAGGGGAGGAGGAGGAAAGGACAGGAGCAGAGAAAAAAGTATAGCTCAAAAAAAAAAACAATTACAAAAGACAAAAGAAAGATGGGAGGAGCATGTGTTGGGGAATGAGAAGAGGGATTGGAAGTGTCTATGACCAAGATACATTGTATCTATGTATGAAATTGCCAAAGAATAAATAAACATACGTTAAGTAAAACAAAAAAAAGAAAAAAAAAAACAAATTACTAGTCATTTATAATAGTCAAACTTATAGTCATAATAATTAGGTTTTTCTAGATATACAGAGATATATTTCAGATGGATAGGTAATCTTCAAACACCTACAGAATATGGCATATAAAATGTTCTAAGAATTTAGACTTTTCTTGACAGTGAGACACATCTGTTCCTGACAGCATCAATTACTTCAAGAGGATGATGGGCGTCAAAGAAGTTCCCTATGGAGTTTTTTTTTTTTTCACTGAGGCAAGGTAGCCATTTGGGCAAGAAAGTGTTCTCAACTGGACTGTTTGACAGCCTGCTGTATAACTGGACATGTGGGACCCACAGAAAAGTGACTGCTGAAACTGGCAAAACAAGACGGGATAGTTCTTCAGGGTTTCTGTTTCATGGGAGAGTCTGTCAGATATTCTGAAGGACACAAAAGAAAATGATTGACAAATTACCAATATAGAAAGGACAATTTCAAATGTCTTGCTTCACTGAGAAGTCTGCCAGACACTCTAGGCCTATAGGCTGAACATGGATGACCCAATGTTACAGAAGAACTTTGGGTGACTGTCCAGGAAGCCAGATATATCTATCACTTCTAGAATTTTGGAAATTACTTACAATGCACTTCAGTTTACTAAGGTATTATTATATCCTTCTGGGGTCTTTAAAGGAGTTCAAGACTAGTTAGTTACAATTCTCCTTAGTTATGACAAAAGATAAATTAGATATAAAATGTTAGGCTCACAGATGGATAGATAATAAAATATTTCCTTTAATTTTGCCAAAAACAAATAAGCTAAATATTGCACTGTAATTCTTGTATGATAATTGTTTTGTTATATGTAATTTTACTATGTTAAAGTTAAAATCTTCCTGTGAGTATGTTTTATGACCAATGGTTAAAAAAGAAGGTTATTTGGCCAATAGCCAGGCAGAATAGAGCCAGGCAGGAAACCCAAGCAAAGATACAAGGGAAAAGAAGGCAGAGTCTGAGAGATGCTGCCTGTAGACAGGCTGCTTGTTCATTTCCCAGTTTCCCAGATCTGAAATAATCACACTGAAACTATATTAATTAAAATACTGCTTGGCCTATTAGCTTAGAATTCTTATCAACTAACTCTTATATCTTAAATTAACCCATTCCTATTATTTTATATCTTACCACAAGGCTCATGGTTTACTGGTAAGGTTCCAGAGCATCCTTCTCCTTTGGCAGCTACATGGTATCTCTTCAATTCTGCCTCCTTTTCTTTTCTATCTCTGCTTGCAATTCCTGTCTTGCTCTATTCTATCCTGCCATAGGCCCAAGAAACTTCTTTATTCATTAACCAATAAAAGCAACACAGATACAGAAGGACTTCCCACACCAGCCACCAGAAAAGCAAGATATGAGATAACACAAGTCTCATGGTAAAATATAGAATAATAGAAATGGGTTAATTTAAATTGTAAGAGCTAGTTACTAATAAGCCTGCGCTAATAGACTGAACAGTTTATAAATAATATTAAGCCTCAGAGTGGTTATTTGGGAATTGGCAGGTAGAAAAGAAATAATACACTCAGAGTAACAATACAATTAAAAAGAGAAGGGAAAGGTTTGTAGAAATGCATTTGTAGACATACAGGTCCAGACAGAGAAGTCGAGTGGACCCTGGCCAGATTTTGAGTGCAGTCCCTATTTCTCTTAGAGAGCCTCTTTTATCTTTTCCCCTGCCTCCTGTGGCTGACACACCAGGACTCAAGACCTCAGCAGTGACCTTTTTCAGAGTGGAGGAATGTGCCTGTTCTAGACTCGACAACTCCAGTGCTTCTGAGTCATATTCCTACCAACAGTGTCTGCTCACCACCGCCATGACCTCCCAGGTGTGAGAAGGAGAACTGAAGAACCCCACTCTCATTCCCCAGAGGTTGGTCCTGGGGCTCTAATGGTAGCCAACAGATTTATCAGTGCTTTTTGTATTGGGAGCGGAGGGAGCAGTCAGGGTCATCATCTATGTACCTGTCTTCTACACATCTTTTGCTACTTCTTCGTGGATTCCTTAGGCATCCTCTTATATGCAGAGGACTCTTGGCAAAGTCTAGGGATCATGAAGGGCAGACCCGTTCATGGATTCTGTGCATCTCCAGCTGGCTGCATATCTGCCTCTAGTCATATGTACAGGAGGCCAGTGTGCAACTGGGGGAAGGGGAGGAGAAAGGTAGTTAGTACCTGGAGGCCTGAAAAATGCCAATTCCTGACCTGGGCTCTGTTGGTTGCTTCCATAAAAGAAGGACAGACTCCTGAGGGCCCAAGCCTTTGCTCTCAACTACTCTGGAGACCAATGCAGGAAGGTCCAAGTTCAAGCCACCCTGCGCTCTCTATAAGATCCTCTCTCAAAAACCAAACAAACAAAAAACCCAAAACAAACCAAAACAAACCAAAACCAAACCAAACCCCAACAACAATAACAACAAAGCAACACTGGGCAGGTGACTCTTGACAAAATGTGTGCCTAACAATCCCTAGGTTAAGCTTCAGTAAAACGAGCACACAAGCAAACACACACACACATACACACAGAGAGAGAGAGAGAGAGAGAGAGAGAGAGAGAGAGAGAGAGAAGTTGACAAAATTGACAGAGGGGGTGATCTGCATCAAGCAGTAAAAACGTGGTTCCCGTGGTCCTCTGGATTCCAAACTTGTCCTAGTGACCCAGTTTTTCAAGGAAATGAATCTTGCAGAAAAGGTGGTGAGAGACCCAGGGAAAGATGAACTAGACAATCGAGCCAACGGGATACGTGACATACAGGACGAGATTCAAACAGTCAGAGAGGCGGTCACAGCAGCTCAGAGATGAGAGATCCTGGAGATTCAGAGGAACAGTCAGAAACACAAACCCAGGCAAGAGGCAGAGCTACAGCAGCAGGTGGCACCCGGCGGTAGGAGGGGTCTGGGAAAGGCTGGAACACTGGGGCAGTTCTAGGAGGCGGCGAGCGGAGTGACTGTCAGCGTTGCAGATGATAACAGTCCCTTAGGTTCCCAGAGTTGCAGAGGAAGGAATCCACAGCCCTATGCCACAAAGGTTGTTTAAGGACTAGGGGCCCTGACCTGAGTACCTAACTGAGACACAAGCAGGCCTGGTTTCGCGGCAAGGAACTCCCTCTGAGTCCCCCTGTGTGACGGCCCCAACTCCCGCGCGGCGTTTCACTGGCCGCTCATTCCACTGCGGTCCTGTCGGGAACAGTGGCGCTTTCCGACCAGTTACAGCTGCCTTCCAGGCAAGACCGCTGCACTCCAAGGCAGTGCTCGAAGAGAGGGTTGCAACAGGACCCAAGTCCGGGAGCAGAGAGCCAACGGGGCGTCCGGCTGTCCGGAGCCGGTCCAGCCCCGACCACACAGCGCAGACCAATGAACAGCTGCCCTCCAGCTCAGCACGCGCTTCACTCACCATCTCCAGCTTCCGGAGCATCCCGAGTCCTCACTCTGTCTCTCCCAGCACCACCCAGGCACCAGGCCACAGAGGTCAGCCAAAGCGTCCAGGAAGGACCTCCTGATAGGAGGCAGTACCTGGCGACAGGTCCCAAGATGGCTGGTCTTAGACAATAACGGGCCCATCAGAGTGGGTCTTTGCTCCTGATTGGACAAGCCTCACACTACTATCTCTGATTGGACAGAACCTCACGCCTAGAGCTAGAGTGACAGTGACTGGATCCAAGCGGTTACTGAGTGAACAATAACAGGTTGTCTTGGATTTTTTCTAACTGTTTCTTTTGTAGAATCTAGCCCCAGTGGAAGAGTTACATTTAACTTTATACATATTAGTTTATGATATATAAATGAGAGATGATAGATAGATGAGAGAGAGACAGCGAGAGAGAATCTTCTCCAACAATGGTCTGAACAATTTAAGAGTATTTCTGTAAAATTCCACTCTTTCGAGGAGACACCTTGAACCTTGATGGAAGCAATTTCCTAAAGCACCAAGTTATAATAAACCGTGAGAATGATAAGGTTTTTAAATTAAATTTTAGAGTAGTATACAAAATGATGTGTTTCACATAACACTCCCATGCACTTGTTTCTTTATTTTTTGCCCTCACTCAGTCTCTCTTCTTATGCTCTCTGCCTGTGCCTCCTACATCTCTCTGGTTGGTTGCATTTCTTCCTGTTGGCAAGCCCTTGGCATTCATATCCCAACAAGTGTTCATAGGGACAGGCAACATGGCAAGGCAGTTAGGGGTGCTGTGAGATATCCAGCTGAGACTACTCAGACAGTGGTTCAAGCCAATAGGAAGTCTTTATTGGATGGTGACTACACCGTGTATCTGAGAGCCCAGTGCAGCCTCGAACCTTTCTTGGGCTGGGCTTTTAGACACAAAAGGCATACCCTGGGTTGACACAGCAGTTAGCAAGAACAATTAGCCAGAAACAGAACTACAAAAGCAAAAGGTGAAGGTTAGTGCATCTAGGGGCTTTCCCAGAAAGGTTTGATGGACTGGGTCTTTGCTATCATTTTGGCAGGAGCTGCTGCCTATGTGCTGGCTTTCAAGACCTGAATGGTTCTTCCATCACGGCATCAGCTGAGCCAAGGTTTGGAAGCCTGTTACAGGGCACTAGCCTCTAAGCCTGCTAAGCTTGATTTTAATTTTATTTAAATATGTTTTAATGAGCTATAACATTCCTACCAAAATGCACCAAAACATTTTTTTTATTTCTCACAGTAAGAGAAATTCAGAACATGTAACATGCACCTCACCTCATGAATGTTTCAACCCTTTTAGCATTTGGAGGCTAATATTACTTCCTATATGAAGATAAATCTTTCGGGCAACCTGGTCCAGGTATGTCGTCCACTGTAAACTCCCTCTGGGTCTGTCCATTTAAAAGCAAAGGTGGGTTGACTCACCTCTGCTGATAAGAGGCTGAAGAAGACATCTTTCTGATCTAAGACAGTGTACACTTGTTTCTCTGGAAGACTCAGACTCATGAGAATCAGAGATCCCAGGTTTCTTCATAAGCAGGAGAGGTATATTCCAGTGTAACTAACAGGCCTGTTTCAGTGTTAGAACACATATCTGACCAGCAAAAATCAAAGAAAAATGTTCAAGCTTCTGTCTTTGTTCGGCTACACTGCTGCAAGACAAAATATACTGAGTGGACATCTGTATGAACGTCACTTTCTTTCACGGAAAGATGTTTCACACACAGTTATCTTCATATAGAAAGTAGCTATTAGCCTGCAAAAGCTCTAGTTAGGGACTGACACCCTCAGCAGCTTGCTCTTCCCCTGATCCACCAAGCTGTAGAACAGAGTTGCTCTCTTTTCCGCAGAGGAGAACCCAGAGTCTGTGCATCTGTGTGTGCACAGTTCCTCTTCTCTTCCAGGACTCCGAGTGTGAGCTTTGGTGTGTAATATTGCGTTGTGGCATTGACTATGCAAGGGGAAATCAGAGAGGTCAGGAGGTCTCAGAGCTGCTTTCCCCAGAAGCACCTAAATGTGTTTTCTTCCTGGCTATCGGATCGTCCTGCAGTATTCCAGAGACAAGTGAAAACCAAGGGAGGATTAACTGGGTCACAGGTTGTCTGAAGTTAGGCATTAAATTTGTGTCAATAAACCAAAATCCATACCAATATAAAGTATTTCAAGATTAATGGTTATTTTGTTATTAAAGTACATTTAATAATCTCCCCTTGTTTTCATCACTTTCATATCATAACTCCTTTTTTCTTTAGAAATAGCTTAACTATGCTCATTAACTATAACCAGTCTCATTTAAATGAAAACAAGCATATTTATAAGCAATATTTTGGAAATTATGGGCATAGTTTTCTATACTATTTCCTGCTGATTAGGGGCACTGGTAATCTTATGGGGAGCCTAAGAAAATTTAGAATTATGGTTAAGTCTAAATACCTGACTGGGGTATTTTGTGTGGTTGGTCCATCTCAGCCAGTAGCCTTAAAGCTGTTTTGGATGCTGGATCACCTGGACCATGGTTCACATTAGAGACCTTTCAGGGGGTCTCTGAATGTTGCTAATATGGTTGCTCAATCAAACCATATTAACCCGAAAGCAATCATAACTTCTCATCTTCTGTGGAGATAAAAGCAGCACCTGGTGGACCAGGTCCTCCGGTCCCAGGGGAGGTTGCTCCTCTCCCTCTGCCTTTCTCTCTGCCAGACACGATTGATTTTTGACTCAGGATAAGTTGCCTGTTTTTCATCCACAGCCTAAAGAGGTACTAGTTACTTCTTTCAGGTTCAGGACCCCCGGGGTCCCCTGCTGAGCTGCCTCTGCACCAGGACAAGCCTGTTTGGTTCTGGAGCAGAGACACCCTCTGTCTGGGGAACCTTTGGCTCCTTCCCATGGCTGCCCCACCCCCACTGCTTGACCCCAGGCCATCACATGGAAAGCCTTGCCATGGTCTGCAGTCTCTGGCACAGGCTTGGAAATGGACAGCACTAAGTCTAAACTCAGTCTTCAGTCACCTCTGGGCTGTTTGTTGTGAAATTTGGGGTTGTCTCATACCATACACCCATTGTTCTGTGGCCTGGCCTCAGTAATTTCATAGTGTATTGACAAATGGCCTGAGCTCCCTTTTGTTCCAGGTTTTTGAGTTCTTCTCTCCTGCTCCTCACTCTGTGGCCAGGGTTACAGCTCCTCCAGCTGCCCTTTTATCTGATGATTTGGATCCTGAGCTCTAGCCCCAACACTGCTGGCTGAGTCAGTGGCGCTCCCACCCACCCCAAACCATACCTACGCCTATCCCTTCTTCGCAGTCACACACTCCACCTAGTGGCCAGCCTTCTTCCGTTTACCCACGGTTCCTCCTCCTTCCCTTCCTCCCTTCTCCTTACCCGTCTCTCTTCCTTTTCCTTCCCTTCTCTCTCTTGTCTCTTCCCTGTTCTCTCTGTCTGTCTGCCTACTCTTCTCTCATGAACTTGTTTTGTGCAGGGTGAAAGATATGGATGCATTTGCACTCTTCTACATGCAGACTCTGTTATGCCAGCACCATTTATTGAAGATACCCTTTCCCTATTGTATATTTTTGTTTCTTTATTAAAAAATCAGGTTGTCATAGATGTGTAGATTTACATCTGGGTCTTTGATTTGATTCCACTGATACATCTGTCTGGTTTTATGACAACACCATGGGGTTTTTATTACTATAGCTCTGTAGTACAGCTTGAAATTAGGGATAGTGATGTTTCCTAATGGTCTTTCATTGTAGAGGATTGTTTTAGCTATCCTAGGTTTTTGTTTTTCCATATGAATTTGAGTATTGTCTTCCCTTCTATCCTTCCTTTCTTTCTTGCTTCCTTCCTTCCTTTATTTATTTTTTTATTTTTCTATTTAAAAATTTTATTTTTCATTTTATATACCAACCCCAGTTCCCCCATTCCTCCACTTTTTCCATCCCCTGCCTCTCCCGCTTCACATTCCCCATTTACTCCTTATAGAGGCTAAGGCCTTCCTTGGGGAGTCAACAAAGTCTGGCATACTAATAGAGGCAGGACCAAGGTCTCCCTCCCATATCAAGGCTGAGCAGTGTATTCCACTAGAGGGGAATGGGTTCCAAAAATATCATTTTATGTCCCTGGAATAGGTCATGGTGCCACTGCTAGTCCCCTCTCCACTGAAGCAGATCAAATCACATAGCCATCACCCACATTCAGAGGATCTAGTTTGGGCCCACGCAGGTTCCCTAGCTGTCAGTCTATAGTCTCTGAGTTCCCACTAGTTCCTCAAAGCACAGCTGTGTCTGTACCTTTCCCCATAATGTTCTTGACTCCTCCTCCGTTCATGTGATTCCCTCCCTCTCTTCAACTGAACTTCAAGAGGTCAGCCCAGTGTTTGGTTGTGGGTCACTGCATTGCTTCCATTGGTTACTGGATGCAGGTGCTATGGTGGCCATTAGGGTTGTCACTAATCTGATTAAAGGGGAAAGGCCATTCAACCTCTTAACTATCGTAAGAAGTCTTAGCTGGGATCATCCTTGTGGATTCCTGAGAATTTCTCTATCACCGGGTTTCTCCCTAACTCCATAATGGCTCCCTCTGTCAAGCTATCTCTTTCGCTGCTCTCACACACCAACCATACTCCCCACTTGAAGTTTTTGATCCCTCATGATCCCATACTACATTTCCTCATTTGAATCCCCTTCCCAGTTTACTCAGGAGATCTTAACTATTTTCTCTTGCTGGGGTCCTCCATGTATGTCTCTCTTAGGGTCCCCCTTTCTACCTAGCTTCTCTGAGGCTATGGATTGTGGCCTGGCTATCCTTTGCTTTACATCTGATATCCACTTATGAGTAAATATCGTGTTTATCTTTCTGGGTCTGTGTTACCTCACTCTAGATGATTTTTTTTTCTAGTTCCATCCACTTGCCTGCAAGTTTCAAGATGTCATTTTTTTTTTACTGCTGAGTGTAAATATACCCCATTTTCTTTATCCATTCTTTGGCTAATGGGCATCTAGGTTGTTTCCAGGTTCTGGCTATTATTACAAATGCTCCCATGGACATAGTTGAGCAAATGTCCTTGTGGTATGATTGAACATTCTTTGGGTATATCCACAAG